TGCAGTGTGGTCTTAGAGTCTGACCAGAGGAAGACAGGTGCTGTGGATAGACTTAAAGTGTTGCGATAGTGCTTTGCGAGATTCGAAAGTGACGCGGCGGCACACAGTTCGAGGCGCGCCAGTGTCACTTGCTTCACCGGTGCCACTTTGCTCTTGGCGGCCAGGATGTGTACAGCCTGGAAGTTGTCTGAGGAGACGCGGAGGTACACGACTGCGGCATATCCTCGTTCGGATGCGTCGGCGAAGCCGTGTATTTCCAAGTGCTGGTTCTCGGTGCTAGTGCCGAGCCAGCGATTCACGCGGAGGCCTTCGAGCAAAGGGAGTTCCTTGAAGAGGAGCTCCCAGCGGTGAGCGTCGGCGGAAGGGAGCGGAGTATCCCAATCCAGCTGCTGCAGCCATGCAGACTGAATTAATATCTTGGCGCGGATTATGACCGGAGCGAGCCATCCCAGTGGGTCGAAGAGACGTGCGGTTTCCGCGAGGACGTGTCGTTTCGTGTACTGAGTTATCGTGCGCGGGTGTATCGCGAACGCGAAGCTGTCCTCGCTCGGGTACCAAAGGAGGCCTAACGTGGTCTGACTTTTGTTCTGCCAAGAGTGCGGTTCTTGGAACAGACGGTGTTCCCGGGGAATGCCTTCTAAAGCTTCCTCGCAATTGGACGACCACTTCCGAAGCGGAAACCCGCCCGCCATGCAAAGTTCGCGAAGTTCCGTTTGCAACGCGATCGCGCCGGGTATTGTGTCCGTCCCCGTCTGGACGTCGTCGACGTAACGGTCCTCGAGCAGTGCGACGGCGCCCTGCGGATATCGCGCCTTTTCGTCGTTAGCCAACTGAATAAGTGACCGGATCGCGAGAAACGGTGAACACGCGAGGCCGTACGTCACCGTATTCAGGAGCAGTTCGCGCAGTATCTCGGTCACCTTTTGTCTCCACAAGATTCGCTGGAATCCGCGGTCTTCAGGGTGCACGAGGATTTGGCGATACATCTGTTTGATGTCCGACACGAGTGCTACGCGGTACCGGCGCCAACGCGAGATCACGTCGGCGAGCGCGGGCAAGAAATTAGCTCCAACGTGTAAGTGCGCGTTCAACGATTCACCGGACTTCGTGCGTTGCGACCCGTTGAACACCACTCTAAGCTTGGTGGTGGAGCTGGCCTCCTTGAACACTCCGTGGTGTGGTAAGTAGCACTTCCCGGTGGTGTTGTCTTCGGTGGTACTCACCTCCGTCATGTGTTGCAGGTCTTCATACTCCTGCATGAAGGCTCGGTAGAGCTCACCGAACCGCGAGTCCTGGTCGCATCGTCGCTCCATGGTGGACAGCAGGCGCTCCGCCGGCTTGCGAGTCTCAGCCAGGCTCGTTGGAATTTTCCGGAACGGGAGTCTCACGACGTACCGTCCGGTGACCGTACGTTCGTGGGTGCGCACGAAGATCTCCTCGCATTCTTCCTCTTCGGGCGTGAGAGCGGCGGGAGCGGAGACGTCGGTTTCCTGCTCCCAGAAGCGG